GCGCGAGTCTGTTCTGCCATCTGTCAGCTGACCTCCTCTCGCTCTCGTCCTCTCGGGCATGAAAAACTTTAATTGCCATATCCACCAGGTCTCCTAGAGGGGTCTGGGGACCATCCTCAGCCTTTTTAAGCTTGCGCCTGGTGGTGGGAGCCGACTGAGTTATAAAATGCATGGCCAGGAGAGAGGAACCTAATGCTGAGGCCGGGTCAATTTTAGTAAAAGCTCCTAGAGTTTCTTTTAGGTGCTTGAGGAATTCTGATGGGTGTTCATCAGGCTTCTGTGTAATCTCTCTAAGCTTATCATAATTGATAGCCTTTTGGGTGGTTGAGTTCATACCTGCCAATAAGTAGCGAACCATGCGATCCCGGCATGCCTCACCTTTGGGAGTATTATAATCCCACATGGGTTCCTGTAGAGGAACAGCTTCCCTGCCCATAGGTTCCCATTCATCTGTGGCATGGGCCTCATTGGCACAGTGCTGTGCTGCCTCCATGACACAGTCATATTTCTCCAGGGTTAGAGTGGATTGGAGGTCTACATGCACATCATGCCAGGTGAGCTTGTAAGCTCGAGTGAGATATTTAAACTGCTTAGCAAACATTACAGGGCTGGAGGAAAAGGACCCAAATCACTGTTCTACTTGGGATAAGTCTGCCAGAGAAAAAGGAACATGAATCTGCACTACCCCTTCAGCCCCTGCTACCTCCCTCAGAGGAGCCATCAAGTGACCTTGAGACCGCTGTGACTTAGAGCGGGTTACAGGAGGGCTAGACCATTTGGGTGCCAGCCATGGCGAGTAAGATGGCAGTGGGCTCAAAGGAGGGGACGGAGGGGGCGACCTTGGCAGTGGGGGATACAACTTGGGAATCGATGCAGAGCTTGAAGGCAGGGGACTGGGGTATGGGGGAGTTTTATCTGTTTTATCCAAAGTGGAGTTGGCATCTGTGGAGCAAGATGGTGGCGCGACTGGAAGAGAAGGGGAACAAGATGGTGGAGAAAATGGAAGAGAAGGAGAACAAGATGGCAGAGAAACCAGAAGAGAAGGAGAACGAGATGGCAGAGAAACCAGAAGAGAAGGAGAAGGAGATGGTGAAGAAACCAGAAGAGAAGGAGAACAAGATGGCAGAGAAACCGGAAGAGAAGGAGAACGAGATGGTGGAGAAACCAGAAGAGAAGGGGAACAAAATGGTGGAGAAACCAGAAGAGAAGGGGAACAAAATGGTGGAGAAACTGGAAGAGAAGGAGAACAAGATGGAGGAGAAATATATTGAGGAAGGGAGCTGGCCCCCGCGGTGGGCCTGGAGGAGCAGGAAGGGTGGTAGCCGATATCCTCCGCCAAGTCTGTCTGAGAAGAGCCTTGCAGTAATAGGAGGGGTAGAGATTGGCGGTCTTTGGTGGAGGCCTGGGCCAACAAAACTTGGGAAGGAGTACACTTAACACATAGATCTGGATGGGTGCACAGAGTCCAAAAAGCCTGCACATATGGGATTTCATTCCACTTTCTGCTCCAATGGCAATAATTAGTTAAGTCGGTGAGGAAGCCAAAATCAAAAGTTCCCTCAGGGGGCCAGCGAGATTGGTTGTCCAAGAGATACTGAGGCCAGGCCTGAGTGCAAAGGAAGACCAGCTTCCGTTTGCAAACTTCCTGGGACAAATACAGAGTAGCCAGATTAGAAAATTAGACACCGCAATGGGGTGTGGGCCTCTGCTTTTGAGGGCTGGTTTCCCATGTCTGCGTCACCCCCCAACTAATCCCGCTGACAGGAGCACCCAGCGTCCCAAGTGCACCAAGTCAGGGGAGACATCCTGGGAACCTGGGTGAGGGATGTCTCCCACACTGCAGGGCCAAGGGCAGGGACGTCTCCCACACTGCAGGGCCAGAGGCGGGCCGGATGCCCGCAGACGTCCTGGAGCCTGGGGTAGGGACGTCTCCCACACTGCAGGGCCAGAGGCAGGCCGAATGCCCGCAGACGTCCTGGGGCCTGGGGTAGGGACGTCTCCCACACTGCAGGGCCAGGGGTGGGCCGGATGCCCGCAGATGTCCTGGGGCCTGGGGTAGGGATGTCTCCCACACTGCAGGGCCAGGGGCGGGCCGGATGCCCGCAGACGTCCTGGGGCCTGGGGTAGGGTCGTCTCCCATACCGCAGGGCTAGGGATGGGCCAGATGCCCACAGAGGGTGGGCTGAATGCCCAGGGGCCGGATGCCCCCCTGGACGTAGCTACAATTTCTAACGGACCAGGTGAAATGGAGTTAGGAAGGGAAACAGACCAGGGGAAACTGAGGGACTCACCAGAAAATAGTCCATGCAGCAAAGAGCAGGCTGAGGTCCTGGGTCGGGGAAGGAGGGGGTGGGGCCAGCGGTGGCTAGTCGGGGCCCCACGCTCACACTCCTTCCCAGGATTTTGGCACCCAATGTAAGATAAATTCCAATAAATTCCAACCGATATAAGCAGGTGAAGACAGGCAACAAAGGGCCAGTTTATTTGAACGCAATCCCCGGGTGATATTCCTCGGTCTGAAACACAGACCAGGGAAGTCACACCCAGCAGGGCAGGCAGCAAGTTTTTAAAGAAGGCAGGAGGAGGGAGAAAAAAGGTGTACAGTGGCACGAGGATTGGCTCGTCTAGGGTATGTGGGGGTCTCTCATTGGCCTTTAGCCAGGTACTGGAAAGTTACCACTAATCTTTTAGCTTGGGGGAAGGGCTCTAGTTGGGAGTGTTATCCAATCAGGCTCTGGAATGTTGTCAGACAGGAACCTGTGGGTCTCTTTGCCTCATTTGGTGAGGCCTGAGCTTGTCCATCAGACTCACCCCTTCTCCTGATGCCTCCAGCCTTACACAAATAATCCAATTAAAAAATGGGCAGAAGAGCTGAATAGGCAGTTCTCTAAAGAAGAAATTCAGATGGCCAACAGACACATGAAAAGATGCTCCACATCACTAATCATCAGAGAAATGCAAACCAGAACGACAATGAGATATCACCTCACACCAGTTAAGATGGCCAACATCCAAAAGACAAACAACAACAAATGTTGGTGAGGATGTGGAGAAAAGGGAACCCTCCTACACTGCTGGTGGGAATGTAAATTAGTTCAGCCATTGTGGAAAGCAGTATGGAGGTTCCTCAAAATGCTCAAAATAGAAATACCACTTGACCCAGGAATTTCACTTCTAGGAATTTACCCTAAGAATGCAGCAGTCCAGTTTGAAAAAGATAGATGTACCCCTATGTTTATCGCAGCACTATTTACAATAGCCAAGAAATGGAAGCAACCTAAGTGTCCATCAGTAGATGAATGGATAAAGAAGATGTGGTACATATACACAATGGAATATTATTCAGCCATAAGAAGAAAACAAATCCTACCAATGCAACAACATGTATGGAGCTAGAGGGTATTATGCTCAGTGAAATAAGCCAGATGGAGAGAGACAAGTACCAAATGATTTCACTCATCTGTGGAGTATAAGAACAAAGAAAAACTGAAGGAACAAAACAGCAGCACAAACACAAAACCCAAGAATGGACTGACAGTTACCAAAGGGAAAGGGACTGAGGAGGATGGATGGGAAGGGATGGATAAGGGCAGGGAAAAAGAAAGGGGGCATTAAGATTAGCATGTGTAATGTGGTGGGGGGGCACGGGGAGGGCTGTGCAACACAGAGAAGACAAGTAGTGTTTCTACAGCATCTTACTACACTGATGGACAGTGACTGTAATGGGGTATGTGGTGGGGGGCACGGGGAGGGCTGTGCAACACAGAGAAGACAAGTAGTGTTTCTACAGCATCTTACTACACTGATGGACAGTGACTGTAATTGGGTTTGTGGGAGGGACTTGGTGAAGGGGGGAGACTTGTAAACATAATGTTCTTCATGTAATTGTAGATTAATGATACCAAAATATAAATAAACAAACAAATAAATAAATAAATAAATAAAAAATAAACAAGTGTTACTATATCAAACTAAAAACCTTTTGCACAGTGAAAGGAACTATCAAGAAAACAAGAAGGTAACCTAAGAATGAGAGAGTATATTTGCAAATAATACATCAGATAAGGGCTTAATATCCAAAATGCATAAAGAACTCACAGAACTCAACACCAAAAACCAAAAATATGATTTAAAAATGGGCAGAGGACTTGAAAGGACATTTTTCCAAAGAAGACATACAGGTAGCCAACAAACACATGAACGATGCTTAACATCACTAATCATCAGGAAAATGCAAATCAAAACCACAATGAAATATCACCTCACATTACTCAGCATGACTAGTGACAAGAAAAAACAAGTGTTGGCAAAAGGGGAAGATATAGAAAAAAGCTGTGCATTGTTGGTGGGAATATAAAGTGGTTACAGCCAACAATGGAAAACAGTATGGATGTTCCTCAAAAAATTAAAATGAAATACCATATGACACAGTAATTCCATTTTTGGGTATTTACCCAAAGAAAACAAAAACATTAATTCTGAAAGATATATGCACCCTTATGTTGACTGGAGCATTAGGTACAATAGCCAAGATGTGGAAGCCACATCAGTGTCCATCAGTAAATGAATGGATAAAGAAGAAGTGATATATGTACACAATGGAACAGTATTCAGCCATACAAAAGAGTGAAATCTTGGCATCTGCAACAACACAGATGGGCCTAGAGGATATTATGCCATGTGAAATAAGTCAATCAGAGAAAGACAAATACCATATGATTTCACTTATATGTAGAATCTAAAAAAGAAACAAATTTTAAAAAAGGAATAGACTCATAAATACAGAGAACAAACTGGTGGTTATCTGAGGGGAACAGGGTGGAGGGATGGGTGAAGTAAATGAAGGATAGGAAGAGATATAAACTTCCAATTAAAAAATAAATAAGCCACAGGGATGAAAAGTATAGCAAAGAGAACATAACCAACAGTATTATGATAACTTTGTATGGTGACAGATGGTACCTACTCTCACTTACCATGGTGAGAATTTCAAAACATATAACTGGTGAATCACTGTTGTATACCTGAAATTAATATAACATTTCATGTCAGCTTTATTTTGATAAAATAAATAAAATACAACAAGTGTTGGTGAGGATGTGGAGAAACTTGAACCCTTGCACATTGTTGGTGGGAATGAAAAATGGTGAAGCACTGTGAAAAACAGTATGGCTGTGCCTCAATATTTAAAAACAGAACTACCATAAGATCCAGCAATTCCACTTCTGGATATCTGTGCCAAAAAATCGGAATCAGGATCTCAAAGAGATATCAGCACTCTTATGTTCACTGAAGCACTCTTCACAAAGCCAGTTGTGGAAACAACCTAAGAGTCCATTGGGAGATGAATGGATAAAGAAAATGTGGTATATACATACAATGTAATATATTCAGCCTTAAAAAAGAAGGAAATTCTGCAATATGTGGCAACATGGATGGACCTTGAGGATATTATGCTAAATGAAATAAGCCAGTCACAGAGAGACATATAATGCATGATTCCACTTTATATGAGGTATCTAAAATAGTCAAATTCAAAACATCAAACAATGGAATGGTGGTTACCAGGAGGTAGGGGGAATGAGGAGTTACTAATCAATGGACATAAAGTTTCAGTCAAGCAAGATGAATAAGCTCTTAAGAGATCTACTGCACAAAGTTTTATCTATAGTCTTAAAATCTGTAGATCTCTTATTGTGTTACTACCATAATATTTTTAAAAAGCCATATAGACTGTTATAAAATACAGAAGCATCATTTCATGCCTTGTTGTAGTTGCTATTATGATAACCATTAATAATTTTAAATGGAAAGCATTCCATTCTATAAGGCAAAGAAGAGAGGCCAAGGGAAGAAAAGACAACTAATATTTACTGTGCCAAACATTTCAGATATTCATACACTTTGCATTTAGTTATTATATCTGTGGGGCAGATAATTATTACATGAATTTTGCAGATGAGAAAGTTGAGTTTTACAAAGTGAAATAGGCTTTGTCTAAGGTCACAAATATAGCAGGAGGCACAGTAATTAATCAAAGTTACCTAGCTTCATGAAAGAACTGTAGCTTCTAGTGACCATTATAGCCATGACTGGCTGAATTGATCTTGGATATAAGGACAATCATGTCTGTTCTACTTAGATATTCACTTCAGTTTAGTAGGAATTTAGGAAAGTCTGCAGATGTTTAAATATGTGATATGTAAATAATTTTTACAAACAAAAAGGAAGTAGGGAGAAAAATGGAATAATACATTATGAAAGAACTTTGAAATTTTTAAAGTATTCAAATAACTTATATGACTTTCTATGTGGAAAACTAGTCTTTAAGGTCAATCCAAATAAAATATAATTAAAATTGAAAGTTGAGTTGTCCTGGAGTACTGAGTTATTCTCCCTTGACCACTTGTAGAGACACTTCTTTCTTGCCTCCTACACATTGGCCATCCTCATCCAAACACATGATACAGTTCTGAGCTTCTCAGGCTTAACCCAGTACATTGTAAGTGAACAGAAATTCTTAGGAAAATAGTAGTTTTTGTACTTCCTGACCTTTTACATATTTTTGATAGCCTTATAAATGGAGCTCTACATTGGGGATTATGGGAAAATTATAGGGATTATGACCTCAGGCTTCAAGAATCATATAATAAAAAATCTTGTCCTAAATATAGCCTTGTAACTATATAACTCAAAATTGGAAAAAAAATCAAACACTTTAACAAAATCCAAAATATACGCATATCTTTTAACATTTACTTTTGTAGTGCTTTGATGGAAACATTCATTTATTCACTTAATAAACATTTATTGAGCACCTTCGATGTGCCCAGAAGTATGCTAGGCACTGGGGATTAAAGAAGTCTCCACTTAAAGGGAAATCCCTGCTGGAAAGGGAGGAAGATGTCCCTTTTAAACAAGGAAATAATATAGAATGTTAAGGGCCAAAATAAAGGTATGAACATATTCCAGAAATTATATATGACTAATCTATTCCCAAAAGGTTAAACACTCTGAAATAAAAAACTCATAACAGCAAAGTGCAAGGGCAGTTAGTATTTATATTAATATTGGTATACCCAATTTGTCTATGAGAGTTGACCATAAACTTGCCTGTGAGAGTTCTTATGTGTGAAAGTCTGATATTTTATCTTGGATAAAATATTTATCTTACTGGTTTTACTGTGGATCTATTTAACTTAATTCCATTTCATAAAATATAATTTTAGATAGTGTAATACTATTAAGTGCCATATTTGCAATTTAATTATTAGTTTCAAAGCAGAATGCTTTTAATTCTTTGTGTGCTACAGGTAACTTTGAAGCAATGCATCACTCAGTTCCTGTTCATTACCCCCAAGTGGGTAAACCAAAATTAGTCTTTTTCTCTGATACACACAGACACCTTGCAAATGACAATATATCTCTGGAAAGCACTCAAGAAGATAACCCTAAAATTATTGAAGAGACAAGGTAGGTGCATTCAAATATTTGTGAAATTTATCTTTTTCAGGAGGATGGGACACCCCCACTGTCAACAACACAAAGAAAAAGAGTCCCCCCATCTGTCTCCCAGTTCTCTGTTCTCAATTCCTTTTGGCCAAGCATCAAAAAAAAAAAATTATTTGTTGGTCTGCCTCTCATAAAGTTGTAGTGGAAGGTTTAAGTAAAAGAAGAGCTGGGAGTCACAGATTAGAGGTGGGGCAGGTGATTTAGAAAAGTCCCAGAAGCAGCAGGTAAAGGTGTCTAAATGAGCAGGCATCATTTCAAAAGAGCCTGAGGCCCAGTTGATGGCAGGTGGTCCAGTGAGTGAATGTCTGCAAGGACATCTGGTGGCAGTAAGGAGGGGAAGCCCAGAGCACTGGAGAGGCAGGCTACTTTCACCACTTCTCCAAACCAAAGGTTCTTAATCTGGTGTTTCTGAAGGAAACATTGAAAGTTTCATTCAGGACTAACAGTTACCAAAGGGAAAGGGACTGGGGAGGATGGGTGGGAAGGGAGGGATAAGGGGGGGGTGAAAAGAAAGGGGGCATTATGATTAGCATGTATAATGTGGGGGGGAGGCCCGGGAGGGATGTGCAACACAGAGAAGACAAGTAGTGTTCCTACAGCATCTTACTATGCTGATGGACAGTGACTGTAATGGGGTTTGTGGTGGGGGGGACTTGGTGAAGTGGGGAGCCTAGTAAACATAATGTTCCTCATGTAATTGCAGATTTATGATACCAAAAAAAAATGTTTCATTCACTTCTCAAAGCTTAAGAGCCAAAAAATAGCTCAAGGATCACTATTCCAAACCTTAAGTATGTATCTAATTTAGCTCTATATGAATAATCTCTAAGTCTCCTGATGAGAAGTAAGTGCTTTTTATGGTTTTGATGATATTGCTTTGATGTAAAGATAGACCATAACAGAAAATAACTTCATTTATTCATAAAACTAATAGGCACCTGCTATATGCTAGGCAATACTGAATACAAAACTCAAATGAGATAGTCCTGATCTCAAAGGTCATTAAGAAAGCAATCAGAACCAGTGGATATACTTCAGAATTGATTTCCTTTTTCCAGAACTACCTGCTGAAGGCCATGTGGGTTTGGCATAAGACCCTCTTCTCAGGATCCAGTCAAGGGATGGGGACTTAGCATTCCTCAGTGGGGCCACCGAGGAAGACCCACGAACACTGCGCCGTCCTACCCCCCTTCCCTGAGAGGTCACTTTGACTTGCCAGGATGGAGGTTTAAGGGAGAGGGTCCTGTGAGCCTGGAAAATGATTTTTTAAGGGGAGGAGAAAAGATATGCAGGGATTCCTACTTTTGGTCTTGCCTCCTTTCCGTTCCCACACACAAGAAAATGGAAGTTTTGTGACAACTTGCTTTACTGCCCATGTCCATTGTCATTACTATCAAAATCTTAGGCAGTTTGTCCACAGCACCTTGATAGTTTCTTAAAAATTTACACAACTAGTGTCAATTCCACAATAGTGTTCTTGAGTTTTGAAAGATCTTATTAGTATATCATCAGGTAGAAAAGAAAACAATAAAAATGGAGAGCCTTAGAAAATAATTTTGGAAAATTCCATACATTGCCACAAACACTAAATTACATCAATTGTGAGCTATGACACATACCACATCTTCTATAACCCCAAGCAAAGCTGTAATCACTAGAACTGCACCGGTGAAGCTGCAAATAAATCACTCTCTCATTTTCCTAACTAGGAACACTAAATACAGAGCTAAATGCCTTACCTACTATATACAGCAAACACAGGCTACCCTAAAATAAGCCAGCAGAATACAGAGGTTGATTCTGTAATAAGAACTTAAAGAATGTCTTGCTTCTGCCACTGTCAGTGAAGTTGACTGTGTTCAGTGCTGAGTCTTCAGTTTTACAATGTGAACAAAATTACATAAATATTTTGTTTTAAATGCTTTTTATTTCCTCAGGTAATATTTTTTACTGAGGTCACACCAAAGTCTCATTTTGGTATTGCAAAAGATTTATCTTATCAAATGGGAATATCAGTTCTAACTCTAATAAAGGTGACCAAATATATTACCAAATTTCATTAAGCTCTTGATATAGACATTTAGGACATGCTATTGTTAACATTTTACTAATTTAGCATAAAGCTAAGAGATAACAATAATAAAGGCAGGTCAGTAAAGTGTTAAAAACAAAATATTCAGTCCAAACAAAAAGAATAGATTTTGAGTTTCTGAAAAGTTGACTAAAGCAATTCCTTCCCTTTCTTAAAGGAGGAAAATGAGCTGGCATCAGCAGACATGTACCCGACAGTATATTTAATATTTGAAGTGGGAAGCCTGCTCAGATGTAAAAAATCTTAAGAGTGCTTCTTCCAAAATGCTAAAAGTACATGTCCCACACTCCTTTAAGGTTCTCCACATTGGAAGCTGTGCTTGTATCCTGTGTAGAACCAGTGAAGCAACATCTGTCCAATGATAGGGAATGTTTTCCAACTTTTTTATAAATGTGTGCAGCCTGTGCTCATGTGTATTTACACAAGCCTGCTTTCCCTACAGGGAGGAAAAAGTCAGACTCATTGACGTCGTTTTTGACCCTCAAACTGAACTTGATACTATCAATGTACACTTTAATTAAAGATTAATTCAAAACTGGTTTTTATTTAAAGGCTGATTCTGAACAAATGCCTTCACTGTTCAATTAAAAATAACAGATGGTATTAAACAAAAAATTACACATTATTGTTTCTGTGTTTGTCACAGTACATACTTCTGACAGATGTTTCCTCTCTTTTCAAACATGCTAGCTAGGAGGTGCTTGAGGCTTAGTTTAAAAACAGACATTAAATGCATTTATATATTGTAAATAAGATCCACTGAGAATACTGTATAGCACTGTACAATGAAAAAAGCAAATTGTTACTCAATTATCTATCTTTTTTAGCCGAAGTAATGTCAATAGAATCAATCCAGCAATTTTGTTAATGTAAAAATAATAACTTTCTAGTTGGGTTAGAATGCGTTTTTTTTCAGATACCTTTAAGGAATGTGAACAATTCCTTAAGTTTACAATTCACAGGAAATGTTCACTATATGTTATTTAACTACTTATAAAATACCTACTGCCCTTAATTAGAATATGAAAGTATTCATTAAGTTTCATACTGAGTTAAAAAGTGAACTTATAAAAACAGTTAAGAAGTTATTTTAAAATAACTTGCTTTCACTACTGTTATGTTTTAGCTGTTGTAGTAACAGATCTCCTTTGCATTTCAAGAATTTTTTAAACTTAGATAATAGTTTTACTCACAAAATCCTGAGATGATCTTACATAAACTCATTTGCAGAGCTCTCGATGCCTTTAAACCTAATCTCAGTCTAGTTAATTTTATACACAAAATAAATTTATAAGTATCTGTAATGTAGGTATAATGTTAATATTTTGATTTATAGTTCTCAAAGAACCCTTTTGAAATTAGGACACCCATGCCCCTGTCACAAAAAATACAATAATGGTAAGCAACATAGAGGTTTTTTTCAGGACAGCCTAAGCTAGCTTTTGTGACTTCTAGTCTCAACTCTGTCAATGGGTTACTCTGTGAACAAGAATTCTCTGTAAGATTTAATTTATAAAAACTATATTATTTTTTAATTTTAAAATGTTTACTTTGAAAGCTGAATTTTTCCCATACCAACAAATATTTAAAAAGAGAACCCTTTGAGATAAGAATATTATCAGGTTCGTGTTATAGATGGGGAAAATGAGTGTTGCAGAAACCCAGTCAGAGGGCCCAAAATCACAATTGCCTTGAGGCAGAGCTGGGACTTGAATCCAGGTCATTAACTCCAAAAAGCAAAGCTCTCAAGTACTCTGCAAAGGTGTCTCAAAAATGCCTTCAGATAGGCAGGTAAGGTGAGGGAAGCAGGTGAGAATGTCATTGAGGTGAATTGGAGAGCACATGTCCACCTAAAGACAACTGCTACCACTTGGCTCCTAAACAGTGTAGCTAGGCAAACATGCTGAACTTGAAAAATCAGACTACTAACAAGCAAAATATCTAGATTGTGAAATCATCTGAATTTTAAATACTAGATCAATTTCTATTCTTAAAAAAATCTATTAAAATGGATTTTTTAAAATCTGGTAAGGCTAGTAAGGAAATGGAGTGATGGAACTTTCATGCACTATTGGTGGGAATTTAAGAACAGTACAGCCATTTTGGAAAGAGTTTGACATATTCTTATGAAGTTAAACATATACTTACCTCATCTAGCAGTCCCACTCCTAGGCACTTCCCTAGTGAAATGAAAACCTATACTTTCACAAAAATCTGTACCCAAATGTTTATAATGTCTTATTTATAGCCACCAAAGACTGGAAACAACTCAAAGTCTCTCACCTGGAGAATGAATAAACTGTGGTATATCCACACAATGAAATACTATTCAGCATTAAAGGAATAACTAGTGATACACAAAACAATGTGGATAGATTCCAAAAGCATTATGCTAAACAAAAGCAGTCAAAGTTAGATGGTTACACACTGTATGATTCTATGACATTCAGGCAAACATAAAACTGTAGACAATAAACAGACCAGTAGTTGCTAAGAACTAGGGGTTGACAACAAAGAGTCAGCACAAGGGAATTTGGCAGGGTGGAGGGTGGGGGTGATGAAAAATTGCCTACCTTTATTTTGGTACTGATTCTTTGACTGTATGTTTAGCAAAACTTGTTAACTACATATATATATATATATATATATATATATATATATATATATACACACACACACACATATATATATATAANTATATATATATATATATATATATATATATACACTCAAAAGAGTTAATTTAACTATGTAAATTATAACTTGATTAAACAATGAGGTAGTTAAAAGATGAAAAAAGCATCAATTATGTAAAACCTATTATATATATAACAAAGCAAATATACTTTTTTCACTGATATGTGTGATTATTTTACATTATAAAGGTAAATTTTAAAACCCACACCATATTCAGTGAAATAAAATCTACACTCTAAAGCCATGTACTTTCTGGAAGACTAGACAAGAATCCCAAATAATGATATACTACAAAAATAGTAGATGAATTGTTAATACAGAGTCAAGTTCAAGTATACCCTTTATTGAGATGATATATACAAAGATGTTTTGCAAATAATTATGAACTCTAAAAATATTGAGTAGAATTGTATGGTAAAAAGCACAAGTATTAGGGTCAACCTGCCTGGATTGAATCCTGTCCTTGTCAGTACTAGCTATGTGGCATTTGACAAGTTATTACTTAAACCCTCTCAGCCTTATTTTCTCAACTGTAAAATGTAAAGTCCTCAAAGGGTTTTTGTAAAAAGTAAATGAGAAAAATGCTTTTTGTAAACAATTTAGCACATAAAAAGTTACCTGTCACCAATTAATATAATTTTGAAAATTTGAAGATTTTCATCTTCCACTTCAACTGCAAATACTGTTTGTTTGTTTTTTTCAGGATTTAGGACTAGTCAGAATCATCAGAGGATTCAGAGAGGGTGCTTGGAATGGCAGCAGATAGGTCAAGGGAGTGACCCTCAGTGGTCTGTGGTGTTGTATTAGTCCTTTCTTTTGAACTTGACTGTTGGCCAACACAGTTGGCCACTGGACAGCCACTGTCAGCAGTGAAGAGCCTGCCTCGTGCTCTGCCCTCCATTGCACCTCTTGCAGTAACAGGAGACTAAAAGAGTAGGCTGCGGAGGGATGTGAGATGCCAAGGATGAAAAATTTAAGGAGCCCTAGGCACCTGATTTGCCTCACCCTAGTCCTGGCCCATCTTTCTTCCACATTCTTATTTCCATACCTCTCCCAGTTCACAGATATTCCATATTCTTCCCTTTCCCAGGGGAAAATCTTTGTTTCTGCTTCTTTCAAAGCTTGAGATAGTTTACATAGTTTGGTGATTAATCATTAATCTGTACTATTGTTATTGTGTCATAGATTCTATTTTGTTTGCTACCTGTTTTGGATAACTTTTATTTCAGAACTAAAACTGTTTTTCTCCCCTCTATTAATACAGGAATCTCTCTTTAAAGGAATCTGAAGGCTTATTGACAAAAAGTGATATACCTGAACCTGACTTACTCCATATCCCAAAAATAAAAGAAAATTTGCTTGTAAAAAGGGAGTAAATTCACCCTTAAGTGATCTGTTTGGTCTTTTACCCTTATAATAAATGTAGGCAACATCATCTTTTGTGGTTTATAGCTTCAATTTATCTCATAATATTAGGAAAAAACTTCAGATTATTGTTTGATTTGCTTCTTTGTAGAATATGAAACATTGCTTTCCAACTGCTCTATTCCTCATTACCTACAAGTTACTGGAAAAATAAAGATGTGCTTTCTCATCCAAAGAAATGAATGCTTTTTTGAACCAATGGTATTTTGGTGTGTTTCTCAAGTGCAAATCTAATTACAGTTATGAAAATCTGAGTATTATTCTGATTCACTAATACACTTAAAGTGTGGAACGATATATTCAAGTACAAGTGCCACCAGTGCTGTGTACTACCTGGTAGTTCTACCTTTAAAATCTATTGTAAAGTATGAAATTATGTCTCTCATACAAGGGCAGTTTCCTTAAATGTGATATTCCGTCTTGACTCCACTTTAAAATGTCCTGCTCTTCGAGCTATAGGCATTGAAGGATACACTAACTACGTTCCTAGAAAATACTGTGTGCCCACTCCTATTTCAGCTCTGAAGGCGATGGGTCCAAGCCTGGCTGAAGCCACAGAGGATGGGGGCGCCCCGGGCCCCTCGCTTCCCGGCCGGCTCCGAACGGGCCTCCGCGCAGCTGCAGCCACGCTTCCCCCGGGGCGCAAGTGCAAAACACCTCAGGCCAGCTCCCCGTCAGGGAACGTAGCCGAGACGAAATTTCACGTCCAAATACCGAAAGCGGGTCGCGCAGGGGCAACGGAGGCGGCCGACCAGGGTTTCACGCCCCGGAGGCAAGCGACCGTGATGGCAGGGCAGTTTACTCTGCGTTGAGAACTTTGTGTCACAGACAGTGGGAATATTCGAGCCAAGTGCGTTTACCTCTGAGCGGCTCAATAAACTGGTCACGGAGTACCGAGGTGGAGGGACTACTGCTTTAAGTAGTTAGCACAGCATGGAACATTTACCTTGTGGTAGAATAAAGGTAGCGGTCGATGCGGCACGCTCCACGTTTCTTCACAGAAAAGTAAAGGCAGTCTCAACAAAACGGCAGAGTTCCCGCCTCAGCTCCGAGCCTGCCTGGAAGGCGCCGAACTCACACGGCCCGGGGTGGAAGGATGACGGAGAGGGGAGATAGCTAACGAGGCAGCGTTGAGGTCTGTGAGCCCAGAACCCCGCTCTCGCCCCGTGGGCCTTCAACCCGGTGGTCTCCTGACCAGCTGCGCTCAGAGTCCTGCCTGGGGCTGAACCAGGCCTGGGGCGGGGCCAGAGGACGCCCCGCCCCTGGCCCCGCCCCGCCTGACGGTTTGATTAATGACTCTCCCGCCACGGAGGGGGCTTCGCAGGTGAGCTAGGAGCGGGGCGCGTCCAGCCGTCCGGGCCTAACACCAAACTTGACTCGCGCGCGTAAAAGGCGCGCCCAGCCGGAGCTGGAAGCGGCGGTCCACTTCGGCTAGACGAGGATAAAGTGAACGGCGCGGCCCTGGCCACGCAGACCTGCTCGACGCTCTTCGCTTCCTAGCGCCCCGAAGCCGAGCCCTGCACTGACGCCTCGGGAAAGGTGAGGACTCCGACCGACCTCCGCCGCGCCGCGCGGTTCCCCGAATAGTTAGTGGGTGCCTTAGTCCAAGGAGAGGCCAGGGGTGCCCCATTCCTCCAGCAGAAACTACCCTGGGCTCCCGACCGTTTTCTCGGGGTCTCAGGCCCCGAGAGCGAATGGTGCGAGGGCGGCTGGGTGGGCACCTCGGGTCAAGGCGGGGCTAGGGCTTCCCGCCGCTCTGCGTGGGAATGATCCCACCGTCTTACCTGCGACGCTGGCCGGATAACATTCCAGATGCGCGAACAAGTTCCGAACCCGAGTTGAGCTTGCGAGGTGGTCCTTCCCGGTAGCGCAGACCTTTCAATCTATGATGGGGAAGTAGAGTCAGTCTTCCTCAGCCTTCTAAGTTGCCCGGAACTCTCAGAACCCACAGCTGTCCCCAGACGCTGGGGGGCAAACGCACCCCAGTCAAAAAGACCATCTTTGAGACCGCCTCGAACCACTTTAGGTGGCCGATCCCAAGTGCGCGCAGCGCAAGGGGAGAGGAGGCTACGCCTCCCTGGGTCAAGCCTGAGCGGAGCGGCGCCCCGGCCTCACCGAGTCTTCGGTCCTCAGCAGGCGTGCGGCACAGGAAGCTGCCATGGACCCCGACGATCCCGCAGGCAGCCCCCTGATCCGCAGCAATGAGCCCGCGCGCATGGACGCCGCCCGCTGCGACTCCAGCCCGGGACGGCCCGGGCAGGGGCCCGCGGGGCAGGGCAGCTGCGCGCGCTTGGGGGGCGGGCGGCCCGCAGCCGCCAACGCGGCGAGGGAGCGAAGCCGCGTGCAAACTCTGCGGCACGCCTTTCTGGAGCTGCAGCGTACGCTGCCGTCCGTGCCCCCCGACACCAAGCTTTCGAAGCTGGACGTGCTGCTGCTGGCCACCACCTACATTGCACACCTCACCCGCAGCCTGCAGGACGACGCCGAGGCGCCGCCCGACCCCGGACTGGGCGCCCTGCGCGGCGACGGCTACCTGCACCCTGTCAAGGTAGGCGGGCGGGGCGCACTGCGGTGATGGGGCGCGGAACGGACACATCGGCCCGCCTGGTCTGACACCACCGTCTGGGTAGATGCCACCGAGCTCTCACCCCCTGGGGGTGAGGGGTGAGTCGGGGAACGGGTCCAGAGAGCGACCTTGGCCTGCGAAGGCACCGATAGGGAGGTCTGCAAAAGGCTACTCCTTAAAGCGTTGTTTGCCGGCAATGGGTTTAAACCCCGGGAGCCGGGTGTTAAGAGGGATGACTCATGCCCCTTACAGGATACAATCTGCAGAATGTTCTCCATAGGTGAGAAGTTTCTCGGGGGTGCATAGTGGGGGATTGGCTGCACGTCCTCGTAATTTTTAGATTCAGAGTTATATTTGAGCCTGTGAAACTTTATAAGTGTTTTAATTTGCATAATTACATCTCCAATGTGGTTTTTATCAGATGTTTGAAAGTTTTACAAATTAAATGGAGTGATGGAATTGTCTGTCCCTAAGTACTCCTAGGAAACCAACGTTGAAAATTGTAAAACTGGTAGGAACAAAAATGAGACCCTTCCGCATGCCCCACAGAGTCATTTTCAGTCTGTTTTAATAAAAGCTATGATGGCCTAGACTGCTACCAAGAATGATGGAAATACTGTGTTCATGTAATTTTCATGATAGATTGGCATATATGTTTAGTGAGCTTATTAAACATTATACTGAAATGTTGTAATGTACAAAATTAGCCAGGAGAATCCGTTTTCTATAATTTTTGTACATTATATTTAGATAGAATGGGCAAAGTTTTCTTTTAATGTGGTATATGTGATTATGATTTATTGCCTATATTTACTGTGACTCCATCATCCTTTTCTTCTAGGTTTGATTGAAATCCTGCATTGATCTAGCTTTCTAAAATGCATCTTCCCTATATTTTCTAAACCTACATTTTCAAGTTTTTGGTTCCACCATTCTGAAATATTTAGACACACACACAAATGCAAGATTAGGATTAAGCCTTAAGTGTATCAGCATTCGATAAATTATTGAATATTCATTATTGAAATGTGGCAAAATACACCCTTGAATATGAATCTAAAATTTTGTGGTGGGGTTTAACAAAATTTACTTTGCAAATTTAATGAGCATTATGATAGATTCACTATGTCAAATGTAAAAATTTGAAAGTGCACTTATTTATAATTATGATAGACCCAATTCCATTCATGTGTTATATAACAATCTCATCTGAAGAGTCATTCATTATTAAGGGATTGGTATTACAGTGTGCATTAGATTGCTAATCAAATATATCAATAATATTAGATGGTTTTTGAGTTGACATTTCCCACATACTCTTTATTTAACCTTAAGTAGACTTAATACAAAAACTCATCTGTTAGATGCCTCCTTGTGGGAGATATAATTCAGATGAGAATCAAGTTGTTTTTCACCTTGCACTGCTTTGAATAACTGTTAGAACCATTATTTTCATGTAATAATAAGCTTAAGAGTTTCTTGCTCTTGATTCATATGCCAAATGTTTTGTGGTCTTATAACTTTAAAAAATTAAATCTTATTCTCTGAATCAATTATTTGAATTTTAAAAGACAATTCTAGGGATAATGAAACAAGGCCAAAGATTACCTCTTAAAAATGAAATTGATGTTTGAACAAGTGACTAGTCTTAAAATCATTTACTGAGTGCCTGCTATGTGCAAAGCACTGTTAGAAGAGTAAATACAATTAAGAATAAGACTCAATCCCTGCCCTAAATGAACCCATAATAGAGACAAAGACAAAAATACAAATACCAGTACTATAAGGGATAATGTATGTGCTATAAGAGAGCTATAACCGTGTGCTGTGGAGGTTCAGAGGAAAGAGGTTTCATATACACAATTGAAAGCACCCTGTATAAAATTATTTTATGGACACTAACAGAATGCTTAACTACTAAGTCTTTCTTTGATTAATCTAGTGCAAAAGGAATAAACACATTCTGATTATTTGTACTTCTTGGTTAAAGATATGGTAACCATTAGTTAAAAAGTGTTCCAAAATGACTTTTTTTCCTGCCTCACAGCATATGTTACTAAGTCTTACTTTGACCATCAAAGATCTGTTAACAAATATTTCAATGCCTTCATTTCGAATCATCCTTATTATCAGTATTGAGGTTTTAACATTGTTAGGAATTTACATTAAAAGCATCTCAAATGAAACTGTAAGGTTTAAGAGACCAGGTATCTGGGGCATAGCTTAAAACAATTTTTATCCCACAGGGATACAAGCCATTCTGATCAACACCAGCATAACAAAAGCCAGTGATTCTCCGACAGAACAGGGATATATTTCAGATTCTAACACTGGGAAAAAGCACAGATAACTTAATTGCATTGCCTCTGGAGAATCATCGTTGATAATACAGATAAATAATAATTTTAAAAATAAAGTTTTGTTGCTTTGGAGTCATTTAACTCTAAAAACCAAGAGTGCATCTCATCTTCCAGGAGGGCTGGATTTTAAAATCAACACTTAATGAAAGAATTGCATATAGATAAAATTACCATTAAAGGTCTTCAGTTTCAGGTTCAGTTCTCGTTAATTATATAAGTTTGCTAGATTGTTCTAAGCCTAATGAAACAACATGATTTTATTTTTATTTTTTAATTGGAATAAAGTTAAAGTTGATATACAATTATTATATTGGCTTCAGATGTTCAATATAGTGACTTGATAATTACATACACTATTAGATGCTTGCCACAGTAAGTGTAGTTCCCTGTTACCATACCAAGATATTACAATAGTATTGATTATATTATATACATGAAACAATATGATTTTTAAATATATCTTATTAGGTATAGTAGAAGTCAGGATTGTGTTCATCTACACAATGCTAAAACAGACCACTGAAAAGTGAAATGTAAATCAGTCAACCAGCTTTTTGGCATGATGCTGACATGCAACCTAATCAATATTTTATCTGCATTTTTATCTCTGGCTTTTAAAACTATTTATGTGTGTTCTGTAAATTCAGTTGAACAAAATCATTAGAAGCCTTTTGAAAATCAAGGACACATAGTTCTTAAAAATGGAAGTTTTATTAGGTTCAACACAAATGAGGCAAAAATCCATATATATATTTTTAAGTTTGTTTCATTAATTACTTGTATCCCAGACAAAATATAAGGAAGATGCTTTCATTTATCCCCACGCTTGGTTGCATGATTTAGACTGATTTTCAATACAATGCACATAGCACATATCAACAATACCAGGGAGCATTCAGTAGTAATTTTATTTATCTTTAAATATATTTAATTTACATAGAATTCTCAAATTACATTTGAGGCTCAAGCATGAACTTTTTATTCTCCAAATGTCACCCCTTCTCAAAAAAAAGCTCTCTCTTCCTCTCCTTAAAAGGCCACTAATGCTAACATGAGGGACCCAACCTTAGGTCCTCATCTAGCCCTAATTACCTACAAAAATACTATCACATTGGGGATCACAGCATTAACATATGAATCTGTGGGGTGTGATGGGGGCACAAACATTCAGTCCATTGTGCTATCACACTGGGTTCCTCAGGATAATGCAGAACTTAAATCTGGTCTAACAACTCTAGATCCTAACATATCAGAAAATTCTAGGCCAATTTCTAAAACACCTCAAAGTATCAACCAA